GACGTCTCGCTGCAGAGTCGACAACCACCTTTAGCTCAATTGGCGGTCTTCAAGAGACACGACAAGTGCTTCTGGAGACGCTGTTATACCCCACAAAGTACGCGCCGGTCTTCGAGAAGTGCCCACTTCGTCTCCGTTCAGGTCTACTTCTATACGGCTATCCCGGCTGCGGTAAGACATTGCTTGCGAGTGCGGTAGCAGGCGAATGCGGGCTTGAACTTCATCAGCGTCAAGGGTCCTGAGATTCTCAATAAATACATCGGTGCATCCGAGAAGAGTGTTCGAGATTTGTTCGAGCGAGCATCAGCAGCCAAGCCGTCGGTTCTCTTCTTCGACGAGTTCGATTCGATCGCACCCAAGCGTGGCCACGACTCCACAGGCGTGACAGACAGGGTAGTCAACCAGCTTCTTACCCTTATGGACGGCGCTGAAGGTCTCTCGGGCGTGTACGTCCTCGCCGCTACCTCGAGGCCAGACCTCATCGACCCGGCCTTGCTTCGTCCTGGTCGTCTCGACAAGTCCCTCCTGTGCGACCTCCCGACCCTCGAAGACCGCGTCGACATCCTCAAGGCTCTTTCTCAGCAGGTCAAGTTGGACCCCGAAATGTCAGAGTCCGATGAGGCTTGGACAGAAATTGCTCGTCGCTGCGAGGCCTTTTCGGGCGCCGACCTTCAAGGCCTCATTTCCAACGCGCAACTCGAGGCCATTCACGATGTGCTCCAAGATGACAGCCATAACGAGCCTGTGGCGAACGGCAAAACAAACGGCGTCCACAAGGCTGAATCTGTTCCGAGCTACGTGCAGTTCCCCTACTGCGAGCCCGAGGAGCCGTCATCTACGTCCTTGATCCAGTCGAACAAGTTCCACGAGAAGGCAGCTATCATGGCTAAGCTTGAAGGCATAAAGCAAGCGCGCAAAAGGGCGAGGCGTGCGCAGCAGCCGGAAGCGGTCAAGGCGGCGGTGGAGGACAAGGAAGTCGTCGTTGGGTGGAAGCACCTTGTCAAGGCGCTCGTGGAAACGAAGGCCTCAATAAGCGCGCAGGAGCGCAACAGGCTGAAGAGAATATATCACGAGTTCGTCGTGGGTCGCAGTGGAGAAATGAAGGATGGACAGCCTAGCATGGAGATTGGGGGGGCGGAGAACTTGGAGGGGATTGAACGCGAAGCGAAGAAGGGAATTTGAAAATTCAGAATGTGGTATTGGATTAA